TTTTTAATAAAGATATCTCTATTAATAGAGATATCTTAGTTAAAACTAAGATATCTCTATTAAAAACTAAGATATCTCTATTTAAAACTAAGATATCTCTATTTACGATTAAATGACAACTCGGCTCGCCATAAACCCTGTCGCCTATGTTTCACCAACTGGGAATGACAAAATATGATAATAATGTGGAAAGTGTTACCAAAATTCAAAAGACCATAATGTATTAGAAAATGTACCAAATTTCATGGAGTTTTGATAACTAAAAACAGAATTAGGACGATATGCAAAATTCGTCTGTTGCCAGATAAAAAATACCGCTTTAGCAATCTGCCATTCAATAAATGGTGTACCACAGGGCTTATGGTTACCGATTTGTAAGCTGGTTGGAAGGTTGTCAATTCGTAAAAATAGTCACTTCGTATTTCTTTACTTCCTGGGTGTAATTTCTTGCTCAAGAAGTTTTCAGTAGGGGCTGGGGGAGGGGTTTAGAATTCGTTGATTTTCATCAAAAAAGGATAGCCTAAATAATTTATATTATGTGAGTTTAGATTATTGCTATACATTTTAATAACCTTTTAAGTCACAAGTAAAAACGTAACAACCAGTATACGATGATATAAAAGAAATAATCCTAAGACACATAATTTTGTATTTTTTTCCCTTTTTTTTTTATAAAGGTTTTGACATTTCAAAGGAGATGATCAATTTTGCCAGACATAGCTATAAACGTCCAAATGTGACCTACGAATTGGCAGATGTCTTAAGCTGTGTTGACATATTTCCAGACTGGAAAGGCGCATTTGACAAGGTTGTATCTATTCACGTGTTGCACTGGGTGAAAGATCGGAAAGGAGCATTTCAAAGTATCCATGACTGCCTCAAACCTGGTGGAGAGTGCTTCCTTCTAATTTCCGGTCCGATGAATCAAATAATGGGACATGGTGATGATGAACTTCCGCATTACTTGAAGAATCATGATAAATGGAAAGAACACCTTAAAGTACGATATGATTTTACTCTAATAATAATGTTCTAGTAATTTCTGTCAGCGATTAATTTCTAAGGACTGCACTTCCTCAACTTACCTTTCCTGTTTTTGTTACAATTTAACATCACACCTTTTGAAAAAATACATAAGTACTTTCTTCTTAAATTTATTTGCAAAATTTTCCAATCTTCTGATCATCCGTTTAACTTTTTCCTTCCACCTGTTAGAACAATGGCTATGTCTCTTTGTAAAAACCGTCAATCATCCCATCTCCAATTCAATGCAAAAACGTTTTGATTTCAAAGCTATCCCCTTTCTTATTCACTATCCCTAAGTTATTCACGTTGACCCATTTCCGCTTCTGATATTAAGCAAGCCATGATTTAATTTAATTTAATTTTGACAACAATTTAAATGGTCCAATAATTAAAAATCCTTTTATTTAATAATTGTATTATTATCTTGTTTTGTATTTATTGTATAAATTGTAAATAATTATTGTTGATGCGGATAATTGGCCTTGATGACATTCATAGCTAATAAAATTGAATTGATTGAATTATGGGGAGGTTGAATAAAAGAAGTTCAGCCCCTCCCCCACTAGAAATTATGCCCAAGTAGAAAGAAATCACCTAATTTCACCCTAAGTTGTCAGCTAAATCCCCCTCTCCCCACCATCCCCCTCTCACATTAATAGGCCTACTCCTAGATTCTGATTGATTTACCAGTGTTGTGTTGAAAACTGCTCTACCGATAAATCGGATATTATGGATACAATTGATTGCTTGACGCATTGACAAATATTTTCGATGCTTATAATGTTCCTACTTTGTTTTTTAAAGATCGATCAAATCTTTCCTCGCATATTTAATAATATTGTATTCTAGGAAAGACTAAATTGTTTCTATGTCTATATCGATTAACATATTATTCTATATCAACAATTAAATTATTTAATATAATGTTTCCAGATTTCATCTTCAAATAAATTAAAATTAAATCCTCATTCAGGGTTACGAGAACAAGTTTTATAACCGACTAACATTAGAAGATAACGTGAAGTTGTTGGAATCAGTTGGCTTTGAGGTGGTAAAAGGACATTCATACAAACCGTGTGACGAACTTGACATTGACAAAGATCAGATAAAAGGTATTTTATACCATATAATAATTGTATTAATAGGCCTATATTAAACACCACACAGTCTACACTGCTGTAAATTATATTATCAATTTCTGTTTTTGAATTTGTCAGCTAGTGGCTGCGCCAGAAATTCCCCCGAGAAGGAGTCCTTGGTCCCCGTCAGTGAGGTCTTAGGCCCCGAATGAAGGTCAAAGTTCCCCCACAGGGGGAGAATTTATTTTATCGTAGGTAAGTTGAGCAAAAATGCATAAATTATTGGATTATTCATTAGTGTCTGAAGGCATTAGTAGTGCATGCGTAATCTCGCTTTGCTGAACCTACCTATTTTGCTGCAGTCTTCCGACCGCAGCCAAAACAAAATAAAAACAAGCTTGTGATAACTGTTTACATAAAAGTGTCTTCCATTATCGACGTGCCTCAATGCTTGCAAGAAAAAAACGTTTTTTAAAACGGTTTCATTATCAAGGACTTTATAACAATTGTCCTTGGCATGATGTTGTCATTTAATCAATGACGAAAAGTAAAGTTTAGAAATACTGTACCCTGTACAATAGGTCAGCACTCTCGACTAACATAAAATCAACTAAAATGCTGACAACAAATTCTGTATGCAATTGTATTTGCAACTAAAAAAGGGTTATCTAAAAGCCTCATAGTTTATACTTGGAGTTGCACTGAAATAAAAATGCATCAGTAGGGCATATCAATTCAAACTAAATAACGAATACAGCATTTTGTAGCATCAATTACAATTACACAGTATAACAATATTTGAAGACTGGGTGCCAGGAAGGCCAGACTCATGACGATGGGAGCACCCAGAAAAGGAGTTACAGAAACTCTCCATGTCCTTGTTCTGTATATACGGTAGTTAGTAGTAAGTTGCTTTAGTCGTTTCTTTTTTTCAATTTGAATTATACGGTATTAGGTCTGAGCCTGTGTGTGTGTAGTTGCCCGTGTCGTGTTCCATGCCTGACGATCCTTTATTATTTGTATATGAATAATGACAGACCCCTGACGTTCAGAGTTTAAAAATTCAACCAAAATTCACAGATGTCCAGCTTACCATAAGGATTCTCTAGAGATTTTATGAGGAATGATTTTTACTATTATGTAATCATTAGACTAATATAATAAATTTTTCAAAAATTAATACATATAATATAAGAATAATAAGTAAAATTAATTTAAAAAAATTTATACATACCATAAAAAAAACTTTAAAAATACATTTAAAAAAAATTAAATTAATACATATCATAAGAATAATAATAAGTAAAATTAGTACATATCATATAAGAATAATAGTAAGTTTGGATTGCTTCGGTCCTAGAGATAGGCCTAGGCTAGAATTAACGTCGCGGTTCGCTCAGTTCAAGACTTGTTTATTTTCCCCGCGACGAGGGACGCTATCGCGCATGCGCTAGCGATCGTAGTAAGAATAGCATTGGGAACTATTTTCACGACTCGTAAAAATAATCACTGCGTTCAACGCATGCTGTACTGAATACTCTGTTGACGTAGTGTAGGTTAGGGAGGGAGAGCAGGCCCAAGCTAGATGTAGTATATGGCCTATGCTAGGCCCCATTCATTTGTCCTGTTTACTCTATTTTAATGTAAACTTGCTTATGATTTTTACAGCATAAACCACGGAGGTATTACCACCCCCACACACAGTGAAGCCCACCGATGATCCAACCTTCGCTCACCGCGACGTGAAAAAGCTATACAGCGAGCAAAGTCCAGCGAAACGAGATGGCGCATGCGCCAGTAATGCCTTCAGCCACTCTAAATGAATAATTCATTAACTTTTGTTCAACTTACCTACGATAAAAAAGTCCACAGGGGTACAAATTTACATCAGTCCCGCCATTTTTGGATCAGTTTTTTTAAACAGGCACTGTAAGATACCCGGAATTTGCACTCTTTGACTGTAAAAAAGTGCTTTTGTTAAAGCGTTTTTTTTCGACGACACACTTGGCTATTTTCCGGTTCCTGGGATTGGAAAGGAAAGAGGAGGGGGATCCGGGCGGTGGTTGAGGTTATGTATAAAGCTTGAATTCAATTCAGTTTTTTTGTTCGCCATATTTCAAATAAAATTGTAATTGTTTTACTGGATGAATGGTACAAAATAAACAATATTAACATTTCACATCTACATTGATAGCACAACCATTAAAATATTCAGTTTTCATCACTGATATATACAGATTACCTTCAAACACTTCTTGGTCATCTAAGCTATCTACCAGAGCAATACCGCGATAAATTTCTGGATGATGCTACCGATTGGTGCAAACAAAATTTTCCCGTCAATCAACGAGGAAACGCATACTTTAAAATCGAAATAATTATGCTCCATGCCAAGAAAACCAAAAAAGAGTGACAAACTTTTGATATTTATCCACTGTAACAGTGGGTTGGAAGATTTCTTTTTATGAAATATGCATTACCTCTTTCGTTTAGGATAACAATGGACCTATCTGACCAATCAGAACAGGACCAGGAATACGCAGATTTTTGAGTATATTTTTACGCTGTCGCCTTTGTGGAACCTTAGCAACAATATCCAAGGGGCGGGGCTTAGTGGAAAGGTTCAGTTTGTGCTCAGATCAGGGTTTGCCATTTGGCTTTTTGGACGGCCAGATTCCTCAAATCTGGCCGTATAAAAATTTGCCTGGCCGTAGCGTTTGAAAAGTCACGGCCAAACTATATTTGGCCGAATTTGTGAAAAGTTTACATTTTTTTTTTTCAATACAGGCCTAATATAACGTAGAATTGTTTTGGATATGTTGTTTTTGTTAGCTTAAATTCTATATTTGATTCTGATCATGTACATTTGTTTGTACTTGCACTAAACACTTAATCCATGTTCCCCCTTTGGCCGATTTGATGTAAGAAAGTTTATTTAAAAGATAACAGTTACATTTAATAATTTAAATTGTTAGGATGAAATATATAGTTTTTATGAAGTTTATGCTCGTTTTATGAAGACAGCTCAATGCAAGTTGTACCATATATTGTGTGTCTTTGTATTAGGTTCCATCCTAGTGGAGGTTCTATCTCTTTTGAATAAAAAAATTAAATTAATTAAATACTGTACTTTAATTAATTTACTGTTGCCCACTTGAATTGTATAGGCATAGGTGCTGCAGTGTTCATGTAGAGCGCCATATAAATGCTTGATGTGATTATTCGGGTCCGATGGCACCTCCAATTTAAAGCAAGTGTTGCAGAGTCGGATTTCTTCGAAGTTACTCTGAAGTTGTAATTAGAATGAATTAAGTTACATAGTTAGGTAAACACAAAGGTGTTAAAACAAGCCTATGAAAACTTTAATAAATACTTTTTATCTAAACTTTCTAAATTCGCCTCTGAATGTTATTGTCGCAGTACTTAAATCAATAAATCAATGTTGCTATCAGAATTATTTTGTTCATGATTCTCATCGCAGTACTTAAAGCAATAAATCAATGTTGCTATCAGAATTATCTTCTTCATGATTCTCATTGATTCTCTTAATTCATTATAATAAAAGGGAGCCACGGATTTGCCAATAACAGACCCTTAACATTTTTGCTATAGATCAACTACAATGTACCTTAATATTTAATACATATAAATCAAATTTAGATCAATCTTAATAATGTGATTTTAAATAGCAGAGGCGGGTTTTAGGGGGTGGAAATAAAAAGAAAAAGAAAGAAAAATTGATCGCCCAAAACGCCTCAGAGGTTATTTTCGGGCGTCTAGAAAACAAAAATTTCCCCTAAGGTGGTGTTATCTCGATCGGCCCCACTTTCACCCCTCACCTTTTTCGGCCCGGCCTTCCCCCTTTCGGACATCTCTGGATTCGCCCCTGAATTGGCCTACATGCCAGCAACTAAAGAACATAGGTTATTTAACATTACCGGTACTATTTATCTAGGTTTGCATGTATTTTATGGTGATAGATTAATTAAAAGAAGAAAAGCAGTGAAAGATTAACATTGTTCTCTGTGTATCATTTGAATTTCTTCAACTTCGAACGAATGACCGCAAACTCAAACTCAAACGCAAACTCGCATCTTAATAGCACTTGTAGTAACTTCCATCTGGCTAGATAATCTGGAGGTCTTGTATTCGATTCCCACACGAACTATTTTTTTTATTCTATTGGCAAGTAATTGGGGAAATCTAACTTGTATATTTTTATAACATATTTTTTAATATGATTTTTAAAAATAAATCGGACTTGAAACAATATTCATTCATAATATTTATTTTGAATATTTAATAAGAACATTTCATTTCCCTAGGCAAACTTACATCGTTTAACAGCATTTGTTGTGGTTTTCATCTCGCTAGATAACCAGGAGGTCGTGGTTTCGATTCCACCCGAATCATTTTTTTTGGTTTTTTTTTCTAATTTTATTGATGGCTAGTATGGGGACGTACTGAGAATTCGGTACGATAACACGTCACGTAGGGCAAATAATCACTCCTATGATATTTCCTGACGTCGCAAACTCGCATCTTAATTTGTAGTGGTTTTCATCTGTCTAGATAACCTGGAGGTCGTGGGTTCGATTCCCACCCCAACCAATTTTTTTTAAAAGGTTATTATTGGCTAGAATATGGACGTACTGAATATACGGTACGTTAACACAATCAGGTAGAGTAAAAAATCACTCCTATGATATTTCCTGAGGCAAACTTACATCTTAATAGCATTTGTAGTAATTTTTATCTGGATAGATAATCTGGAGGTCGTGTGTTCGATTCCCACACAAACCATTTTTTTTTTAAATATTTCCTGAGGCAAGTAATAGGAAATATCTAATTTGAATATTTTCAATTCCTTTATTTATCACACATAGACTTGTGTTAAATGCATGACGAATTTAGGATTTAGGTTTCTACAAAATGCGTGTTTCATGCAAATCACTTTGAAATGCGGGACAATCCCGCACGATGCGAGACGGTTGGTAACCGTGCTGCAGATGGCGTCGCATTGTATAGCGTTCACAAGGAGTGGAGTTGGATTAGTCGTGGGATGGTCGTACAATGCAGTGTGTGTCCGGTTTAGCTTCCCTTTAAAATGTCCTATTAATTTGTTAATCGTTTTGACCTTCAGAGCTCAAATCCTGATCAACATTGCTCCCTAATTAAAAAATATTTTAAGGTATTTTTTTTAATTCTTAAGTTGTCTTGGACTTGGGATTGTTCTTGCACAGGATAACATTATTATACACTACATATTTTCACAGATATTTCTTAATGAAGCCATTATCAAAAACAAACAACCATGTTATAAAAAATTTATTTTTCAAATGATATGAACATTATTTCACAAGTCATTTTGAGTTAAAAGAAATGAAATGAGAAAAACTAAATGCAATATTTAATACTAATTCTAAAAAAAAAAAAAAAATTGGAAATGATCTTATTTCATCATTTTAATACTGAAGATATAAAAAAAAAATCTATGATTAACAATAAGGCAGCTATCGGTACTTCTACTTTTTTATTTCTAGCTCTGATCTTAAGGAATGTTATAGAAATGAATCGCCTACAATATTGGCTTCATGTGCACATTTAATTAAAATGAGTGAAATTAATACTGTATATATATAGAATGATAGATAACATACTAAATAGTAATATGTATATATAGTTAATACATAAGCAAGTTCATAAATACAGTATATATAAAATATGTATATAAATCTATATACATTAATCATGTATTTTAAATTTATACATAGTTTATATATACCATGTTTGATATAATAAGACATGGTATTTATATACATAGTTTATATATACCATGTCTTATTATATCAAACAAATAAAATAGGTAGAACTTCATCAATTTTCATTAATTTTCATTTGGTGACTTCAGTGAATTTTTTTTTCCGAATAAAGCAGAAATTGCTCCTTGTCATTCAACTTTCAGCCACTACTTAAAACTAGATTTTTTTATAATCTTTTTTTTTTAACGGCATGACAAGTAACACCAGTAGTTGGGGTAGCTCCAGATTGATTGATTGATTGATTGATGAAAGGTTTAAAGTACAAATCACAGCCACTACTGTGTCTGTGTACACTTCTACAAGACTATTAATTTTTATCTGCTGTATACAACATGTTAATAGACCGAATAATTTGAGTCACCAAACCAAAGCTGTTACAGTGGGTATAGCATCAAAGCAAACCTCTTGGTGACAGTTTTATTCACACAATATTAAGCCCCTGCTCGAGGAATTTTTGACAGTTTTTAATCTTCTCAAACTTATTTGTTTGTACGTCCTATCGTAAAATAACTTATCAAAAAGCCTTGGTAAATATTTCTTTTATAAATGTCACAGTATTGACCCATTACATTTGAAATGGAGTAAAACAAACAAATGGAAAACTTGAACATTCTAGCCTTATACTCGAGTCATACAAACAACGTTCTTCTGCCTCATTGGCTATCATAATCAAAAGAAACATCTTATTCTACAATTCAGCAATTTCAGTTTGTCCAACAGTTTAAATACATCATACAGAAATTGCAACAAAATGACATGGTGAAAGTATTCAAGCTGAATATGCACCTCCAAATCAACAAGCAATCACCTTAGTCAGTGCTGGATGTGGCGAGTCCCGCAAGCGACGGGCCTAGGCCCCCTAGAAGGCCTCTCGAAATTCTTCATATTTTCAGTGCGAATGGAAATTTAAATCAAATCAACTTTAACCTCATGAATCTATGAATCACTCAAAATGTATACATTGGTATAAAATGTATCTTCTACGCAACTTCATTACATTTTAGACAATGTAATAGACACGACCTTCGACTCCGCTCAATGCATTAGCAGGAAACAGCTTTTAATACCCACTCGGACAAATTTTGATGATGTCACCTTTGGTGACTCTTCGGTCTATTAAATCAATTCATATATATATATACAATATACATAATCAAATACAAATCAAAAAATATAATATTGAACCACAAAGGCTAGACCTTATTTTAAAAACAAACAATTACAGAAAATCATCTTTTCTAAATCTACAAAAAATAAGGGTTTTGATTGTAAAATCCCAAATCAAAAAAAAAATGTTCTGGAACAATTTTAATAAAAAAAAAAAGAAAAAAAAAACTATCTTTTATATAGCCAAATGAAAACAAAAATATGTTTCTGTATCTCAGCCCAACCATCATGGGCTTAGGTACCCTGCTGACTCTCCATCTTAGTGAAACCTCCATTATGAGTTTTTGGATACACTACTGAGGATGCAAATCCCTTATTCTAATTTCCCCTTCCAAATCATTGCCACCAAATGTATATGTAGACCTCCACCAGCCCAAGAGACAAGGGGACCCTCATTTATATTAATAATGATTTCAATCCTGTACCTTTTTTCTGAATGTTTGGCTAGCAAAATGCCAAAAAATATGAGGCAGCCCCCACCCCCAGCTCCCCCCAAAATATGAGAGGATATGAGCATGATATGAGAAATGAACTTTCTTTTATTTGGCCTTATCAGCCACCACGATCGGCAATAATTCCACGGTATATCACCGTTACGTAAATTCCTAATACAAGAATGATAAGAACGTCGTCGAATAACCCTATGACACCAAACACCGCCTCTGGTATTACATCAAGAGGCATCAACAAGTAAAGTGTCGCTGCTATGAAACAGACGAAGATGCGAAGACGGAACATCCAGACCAGGCCACTAGGCGAAAACATTTCAATGACAAGGTGACGAAGAAGTGTCGGTAAATCACGTAGGTAATCCATTAGCTGGGAGGAAAAAAAAAAAAAATAACGGTAGCTTACAGTACAGCAGCATGTGGAGAACAAGTAAAGCTCTGGCTACACTATCAATAATAAGTGACAAATACCTTTTTTTCCCATTTTCCCATTGGTGTGTGTGATATGACATCATCATGCCTGTATATGTGTATACCGTATCATAAATATTTGTCACAGCACATTTGATAGCGTGGTTACGCTCTGTTCCACACTACCAAGTTTTAAGTGACAAATACCTGTGATTTTCCCATTGGTGAGTGTGATATGACATCATGCCTGTTGGGTATATCATAAATATTTGTAATAGCATATTTGATAGCGTGGTTACGCTCTGTTCCACACTACCAAGTTTTAAGTGACAAATACCTGTGATTCTCCCATTGGTGAGTGTGATATGACATCATGCCTGTTGAGTATATCATAAATATTTGTCACAGCACATTTGATAGCATGGTTACGCTCTGTTCCACACTACCAAGTTTTATGTGACAAATACCTGTGATTCTCCCATTGGTGGGTGTGATATGACATCATGCCTGTTGGGTATATCATAAATATTTGTCGCAGCACATTTGATAGCGTGGTTACGCTCTGTTCTACACTACCTAGTTTTAAGTAACAAATACCTGTGATTCTCCCATTGGTGAGTGTGATATGACATCATGCCTGTTGGGTATATCATAAATATTTGTCACAGCACATTTGATAGCGTGGTTATGCTCTGTTCCACACTACCAAGTTTTAAGTAACAAATACCTGTGATTCTCCCATTGGTGAGTGTGATATGACATCATGCCTGTTGAGTATATCATAAATATTTGTCACAGCACATTTGATAGCGTGGTTACGCTCTGTTCCACACTACCAAGTTTTAAGTGACAAATACCTGTGATTTTCCCATTGGTGGGTGTGATTATGACATTATTTTTATACTTGTACAGTACAGGGTATATGGGTACATCATAAATATTCGTCACAAAAAAATTGAGCTCATGGCAAACTCTGAGATACATCATCATCATCATGGGTAATCTACAGATATGAATATAGCATGTAGCCTCATTCTATCTTGTGCAGTAATTGGGGAGTAACTTGCTGTTGGATGTGAAAATAATAATAAATATGGAATCTATCCAAAAACAACAACTCACAGGTCTTGGTTCTCCAGAAAACCTTCGATTGTAATCGTTAATTTCTTGCATAATAGCAGCATGTCCATCACCCCCGTTTTCATTGTCTCTAAAACATGGGAATAAAATTGTAACCTGAAATTAAAGAATACAAATAATTTAGCAATGATAGCTTGTTGGTCATCCTATGCCATTCCTGTGTTTTCTGCATTCTGTATACAGATTAGTAATATTGCTGTTGTCATAAGCTATATTTTAAGTTTACTAACTGTATTAACTTCCAAAACAAAAACGAAAACATACTTGTGCTTTTTATTTGGCAACTAATCAGGAAATAATAGTAATACAAAGAATCAGAAAAAACAAATTAGCAACACTAGGCAATGTATACAAATATATTGCATCCTACAACCAAATAATCACTTAAAAATATATATATTCTTTAATTGAATCATTTCATTTTTTGCTTATATAGCCCTTTCCAATTAATGGCTGTTTAAAAAATACCATTTGTAGTGAAATGACTTAACTCATTGAAAATTGATTATGTTGGTTGTTTATTGGCATTACATCTTCAGCAAATAAAGGATATTGGTCAAATATCATAAGTGGCTACTCAGTTGCTATAGTGTTTCACAATCAAGAAGGCCCCCTGATTCAACTGACAAATCAGAATCATCAGAATCAAGGAGTACTTATTTTCGACAATACATCATGATACAATCAAAATTTGAATCCAGGTGCTTAAACAATGGGTTAAATATATAAAGGCAAAAATAAAAAGTTATATATTTATTGTTATATTACAGAACTTAAACTTGGAGGTATAACCAATATCTGTGACGGTAGTATGTAGCGATTTATATTCTATGATGCCAATAAATAGGGACTACAGAACCAACAGGGTTGAGTAAATGAGGGTCCAGCATATTATGGCCTAGTTCAGACTAGGTGGATTAACCCGGCTCAACTCACCGGGTTTATCCACCTGCCAGTCTGAACTAGGTGCCTTATCTCCTATAGTAGCTAGGCCTGGTGCGCCACCGTGTTTAACTTTTCTAAGCCGGGCTTTAATCGTTGCGGGGGTCTTGCATTGACTTCGGGTGACGAAATGACCAATCAGCATTCAATTACGTACACCGTGAGCGAGCGTAGGTTTCGCGAGCAATGTTTTGAAACACGTTTTCTGGTTACGGTTCATTATTATGCAAATTCTCGCCTGTCTAAACCCGCTAGTCTGAATGCCTGGCAAAGTTAAGCCGGGCTTAACGTTGAGCCGGGCTTAACTCAAGCCTGGCTTATCTCCAAGTCTGAACGTAGCCTACAGTAAGTCAATCATGAATTATTGAATACATAAAATACAGTAGAAGGAATTACTGTATTACTTACTATTTGCCTACACACTGGACACTGGATAGCTCCCAGCCATGCTCCATACCTCCAATAGGTTATTAAACAGTTGGCTGGGGAAAAAATAAAATGAATGTTATTCCTGCTTGCCAGACTTGCAATTTTGAACTATGCAACAGGTATCCAATTTTGAAGAAAATCTTTTAGGTTGCACCAAAAAGAAACTGCAATGCAATCCTATCTCAAAAAAGGTATTACCACGAACTAGAGGTCATCCTTCACAAGACTGTAAAAGGCATTCGTATATATGGGGCACCCCATCTCATGCTAATACACTTTTTAACGTTTCATAGCGTCCGTATAAAGTTAGGGCAGTCGGACCTCTTGCACTCTATACTCTTTGGTTGCACTATTAAACCTGTTTTATTGATTTTCTCATGAAATTGCATTAGATAGTCTAAAAATCTGTAATCAGATGGGTTAATATAAACTTCAGATGCTATATTGCTGTTTTACAAGTCAAAAGACTTATGTAACTGTTATTTGTTGCAATAAATTACTAAAAATGTAAAGAGGGATAAGATACAATTGAGGTTATATAAAAAACTTATCATGCTGTGATTAGTGGTTCTTGCTCCAGTTAATGCACACCCATAGACATACATTCTTCAATACTACACCATAAATTGCACAACCATATAAATACAACACCCCTTTCCATTTACACACCACCTTGAATCTGAAATATAATATAGGAAACTGGCAGAAAACATTAAATTAATGATCAGAAACCATTCACTTACCACAGAAGACATGCCCACAGTTTGTTTCAGTGGCAAAATTCATCTGCTCAACTAAACAAATTGGACACTGTGCGTCCCTGTTGACTTGCCTGGGTGCTCTTTCTGTTGCTTCACCTTGTCCATTTTCTTGTACGTCTTCCGTCTCCTCTTCTGTTTGATTCACTCGCAATCTTTGTCGTGCTGTGTCCACCCTTGCTTGGTTGTCAGGATGTATTGTACGGTTACTTCTGTAAAAAAAAACAAACATTGAGTTGAAAATATACAGCTCTGTGGCGATGGTAAGATGCCCCAATGCAAAGGCAACCTGGCAAAAGTTAGTTCATGCAGGACCGTAGCTGGTCAAGTAAGCCCTACTGACGGTCATCTGCTTGCGATCAGGAATGGGAGGAGTGGCGGTGCCAGTGGGGGGTAGGCCCACACCAAGCTGACACAGTCTGAGAATGCCATTTCCGGCCATTTAGAGGTTGTCATTCTTTAAAAAAATCTCATTTGGGAGGGAGAACCCCCTCTTAACCCCTTCCCCAGCTTGGATCTATTAGCTCAAGTCCTCCATTGCACAGGTTAGCTCCCCACCCCCTCCCCCCTAGAAAATGTATGCTAAAGCTGCCACTAAATGGGAGCCAAACGGCCAAGCAGGGGTCGCACCATCAGGGAGATGGCAGGGCTTTCACCTGGGAGGGAAAATGTATGTTACAGATTATGAAACTAAAACTTGATTAAATAAGCACCTACACTGTCGGAGCTTGGTCCTAATAGCACCCTCGTTTTCGAGAAGTCTCAGGCGCTGCCTACTCATTCCATCACTGGGGAGAATGATTCAGTGGTGCACCTAGGCTAGGTAGGGGAAGCACAACATCGCACATATCAGTCTCCCCTCCCCCCCCCCACCAAGTTATGTTACTTGGTAGATGTATCCTAGCCTTCCTCCTAGGCTAGGAGGAGGACCTAGGCCTAGCGCCTTTTCTTTTACGTTACGAAGCGTTTTTTCCCCCGGTAAATAAAGACTTAGATTTGTTCTTTAATTTTTAGTCTACAAAAAGGGACTAGCAGCAATGCCAATGGCGGTGTTAGTGGGGAGGTCTGTGGTGGGAGATATTCCTTTCTAGGTTAGGAGAAATAGCTGTTAGTTGTCACGCACCCCGTAACACCTAGCTAGCTGCCTTTTGCACGCCCTGCAACCGTTACTTAAGTACAGGGTAATGCTAGCTAGCCTAGCTAGGTCTAGGCCTAGGCCTATCCTAGACTTTCCACTTACCTGTTTACTATGAACGCCATTAGAAGTGGTATAAGTGCCACGACTAGTAAACTTAACCCTGCCAATAGATCATTACCTATCCCTTCTATCATTTGATCATCAAGTTCCATAATAAATACTAAACTTAAGGGCGATCCCTAAAATTACTTCCCCATGTTAAATTACTAGGCCCTATGATGTGATGTGCTGCCGCCAGAGCAGTATGGACTTCAGATGTTACTGCCAGGGAAAGTTTTTTGTGTCAGGCCTGGTGGGCCTTTTCCGTCGACAATTCATTATTATATTTATTTATATATTTTATTTATATAGTTATTTATAGTGATAAATATTCATTTATACTTAGGCTTAGGCTAGGCCCCGGCTTAGTAATATGGTAAATGTTATATCTTGTTTAAGTAATAATGCGGCTCTTGTAGCCCTGTCTCTTATACACATCTAGATGTGTATAAGAGACAGTTATTGTACATAGTGGTCCTATCTTGTATAACTAGTTAGGTAGGCCTATTCGTTTGTATTCATTTGTATAAAAGGTTGATTTAGGCCTATAAATAGCAAAGGTTGTATTCATTTATACAGGATAAATCATGTGTAGTCATATTCATTTACTTATCCATTCATTTATTCTTCTATTTATATACGGTATATTTTTATATTCACATGGTGAAAGTCATTTTAAAATTGGAAACATTAAAAGAAAAAATATATCATATAGGCCTATACGGTAAATCAGTTCGAGGTCATGGGGAAATCATGCAAAAACAAAATATAAAACGAAACATGACTTAAATAAACAAATAGGCCTATACCAACTACAGACAATCACGGATAGAAGAAGAAAAAAAAAAACAAAAACGAAAATAATATATTGCCCTGGAACAAACACAGACCATAAAGATGTTAATATAGCCTATTTCCTCCACAAACAGACAATCGGATAATTGGTAGAAAAGCAAACTATGCATTGCCTATTCAAGTTGAAGGCCTAAATTCCGCGCTACGCAAACGTAACAAAGAGGTGTAAACGGATCTAGAGGGGAAAATCCCCGACACAAACCCATAATATAGAATTTCATCACCTTAAAGCCACACTACACCGCTTCGCAACAGCTACCATCTAATAAAATCACATGGGGAGATGTAATGTTAAAACATTATTGTGGTCTACTGTGTATGGAAAGTAATGTAGGCCTTCAAATTAATGAAAAGATAGTTTTGATAGATTTTGTAAAAGGTTGTTAAAAGGGCTTGGAAACTTAGAAACGATTTGATAAACTCAGTGCCTTAATCATTACCCCTTGGGCATATTATCTTGTTTTGTTTTGTTCCTTTTCTGCATTACTGTGTTTTGTGTTCTAGCTTAATCTTTATTTTAATTTTGCTTTGATTTAAAGTATTTTCACTTTTTTACTATTGGGGTGTGGTGGGGGGTGTTCCACTGGGTTGATTTTGGTTGATTTCGAGATTGATAAGGAAATGTATGATCTTAGGGGTGTTCGGTGTTCTGGACATGTTAGTTATCTGTAAATTTTAATTTATTTGTTATCCAGTTTAATCCATTTTCCTTTGTGATTTCTGCACTTGAAATTTTAGGTTTCAGTTATGTTGATTTCGTTTTGTATACATTAGTACATTTATGCAATAAGGGTTACTCAGGGGATTGGCGTGAACATTTCAATCGGAATCTCGCATCTATTAAGACATCATTTCTTAATAATACTTTGATGGGGAAACTTGTGAATTAGGGTAAGTGACCCCCCCCCCCCCCACCCCTCCACGCCGGGGAGCAGAAACACGACTTCTTGTATGTATTTTTAACATATAGTAAAAGTCTAAAATCGATTATTAGCCTTTGAAACTCAAAAATTTTCATGGTTTCCGGGGTTTTACAACCGGCCGCTATCTATAGAGAATTTGAGCGAGCCCGGCCACGCCCACGTCCCGTCAGGGAAATCCTGGCGCTAACCCTGTTTATGCATGCTTTTAGTTAGTTTGTAAAATCCAGATCATTATTTTTAACCATCCCATAACCCACCATAAGGCGTATCAGATTCTAGGAGTCAATTATTCGCGTGCTATGATTACTGTTATTGTATTATGAAAGGGTGTCACGTTCCCACTCTTTGTGGCCTACCGTTCTGACTGAACCATGTAAACAATTACAATAACACTGTGATGTAAAAACTGATTCTATTTCGGTAATTTGTCATGGTACCGGGAAATAACGTAAGTTATAATATATCAAATGGAAGTACCTGTACCTCAAATGGCCCGTTTAGACACTTTCACTTCCCAATTGTTCAGCAACAGTGCGTGTTGAAGATTTGCTCCCTGTTCCATGCCCCATTTACTTGTAAGTATTTTATTATTTTTTCCCCCGTCAGCAATTAGAGCGCTCAATGACCATATGGTGTGATTAAATCAATTTGGATAGCAGTGTCACCTTTGTTATGTAACGTATTTTATTCTTTATTTATATAATTTTAATACTGGAACCTATCGATTTTCCATATGTATGTATTTGTATGCATGTACACTGAATAAAGTATTGAATTGAATTCGCACAGACAGTGCACTACATTGCTTACCTGTTCGATTCTGTAGACTCTGGGATGCTTTACCCACATATTTAAGAAATCATTTTATTTTATTAAAATGGAATACTTTTAAAAATAATCTGAGAAAACAGTAATTACCTGTTGACTAAATTATGAAGAGGACTGTTAGGATCAGTTTAATTTTAATGTTAATTTAATCTTTTGTATTTAATTTAGTTTCACAAATATGTAATTTGGGTATAAATATTTATTTAATTTAGTTTAATATAATTATATTTATTTAATTTTTAAATTATAGGATTATATTTAAGTGTTTTAAAGATTTTAAAATTGTTATTGTCTATGTTGATGTTTGGTACCATTAGTTGGAGGTACACACCTATTCGGTGACTGTGGCTTCGGCTGCTTTTGTATCTTCCTGGCAGCTAGTGTTATCATTTTCTTTCTTATTGTCCATGTTCATTTGATTTGTATCATATATTGTATATTGTAACTTTTGCCTGAATAAATAATAATAATAATTGAATGTGTTACTGACAATGCGCACTTAAACTATTGTAAATTGGCCTAATTATATATAAATAGGTCTATGGTGTATTGAGGCGCATATATTTTTTACCCATTTGGTGGAATGTGGTACTGAAGCATTGATATTTTCAATAGAATTAAATCTGTGTTTGTAAATTGACATTGTATCATAAACCTAACGATTGCTATGAAATTTAACTATTTGTTCCTATAATCAGACACAAAACCGTACTTAAAGCCAGCTCCGGAGATATTTTTAAATATGTTGTACAACTTATTTTTCTAATACAAAAAGCATAGGCCTAGGCCTATTTGACGAAAATTTCGGGAACGATTAACGAAATACAGATTTTTGAACATTCTGGTAGTATAGTTTAAACATTTCTGGGAAGATTTCCCCCAATCAGTTGTAAAACATATCAAAAAGTTTTGTTTCCTCCGAAGCCTGACTTAAGAAAATTAAAAGAAATGTAGGTCTACACTGTAAAAACAGCGTGGAGGATTTAAACACAAAGCTCCACGCAATGTTGTCCCGTTTTTGGCGACGTGTTCAGCATTAAATGTGCTTACCTAAACACATTTAATTCTAAACACGTCAAGATCCTAAGCACATTTAGCTTTTAAACGTGTCACCAAAGACGGAACAACATTGCGTGGTGGGGCTTTGTGTTCAAATGCTCCACGTTGTTTTTACAGTGTATACAGGCGCTTGTGTTTATTATCAATCCTCAATCTAATCTCATTAATTTCAAAGCTTAGGGAATAAAGATATAGGTGCTGTCTCTTATACACATCTAGATGTGTATAAGAGACAGGTCTATTCCTGTAGGCGTGGGTTCGAATCCCACTCCTTGCAATTTTTATAATATATATTATGTATACTGTCTCTTATACACATCTAGATGTGTATAAGAGACAGATATACAAGTGTATATATATATATAATTCCATCGTATTTTAATTAAGTGGTGTTTATCTTATTTTCTATATTGAATAGATTGGTAATCTTACCGTTTGAAAAGGACGAACGTGTAATGGATATCTTGCGGTGCACTGTATTGTTTATGTGCATCTTCACTGGATTATCAGAAAACGTGCAAAAAATTATACCAGCAAGAGTAGGCGATCGTGCTGTTTTAACATGGATTGATGAATCAATTTCGCCAAATGATGAAATTAAATTTATACGTGATGAGGATATAATCCACAGGAAAGCACGTGAGGAAACTAACTGTTCTCAAAGTGAGAATAGGCCTACATGTTTCTATATAATCGACAATGTACAACTGGCGGACGAAGGGAACTATAGGATTGTCACAGAGAACAAAGGCCTAGATATTACGAGATCGTCATCTCGTATTCGTCTTCTTGTCATTCCGGAAACATGCCAGACTGACAAAAATACATATTTTGTCGGCGAAAGTATCGCCGTGTCTTGCAAATCAAACCACGCTTTAGACTGTGTTTGTTCCCCCTCTCAAGCATCTGTTAATGAATCCAGACCTGAGATGAATGGGGAAACCATTGTATGTGTACTTGGCACCGAAGTTACAGTACGGTGTAGCGGACCACCTATGTCTACGATCCCGAATAATACACCAACGATTTCAACTTGGACAAAAGTAGGCCCACACGACTCTGAAGATGTGGCTAAAGCTTCTAGCGGTTCTTCCTCCAAAGAGAAAAATAATGACAGGGGAACAAATATATTTATATTCACTGAAGATGAAAAATCTAGTCTCATCGTCATTATATTCCTCGTAGGACTAGCAATCATTGGAGTAATAATTTTAGGCCTAATTTATATTCACAAGTCCATTCAAAATAATTTAAATAGAATAAATTTCCAACCCGTAAACAAAATTGAAACAACTCAAGTATAAAAAAAATTACGATTTTTTGTTTGACTATTAGGCCTGTTATTTTCTAGGACATTAATTTTATCCATGTTTGATCTTGGCCTCAAGCACACACGAATAATGGGCCGTTACACTAAGCCACGGTCCCTATGCATTTGAACGGCTGTTTTGTGGGACATTCGCGTATTCCTGGCCGTTGTTCTAATTAATCGGTCGTTTTTTGACACATTGGAAAGCTCCATTTGATGCACGTGTTACTAGTCATTACGCTCTTAAATTATTGTAAATGGGCCTAATTGTAAATAATGATGTATATTGTTGGCCTGTATATTTTTTTTTTAATCCTTTGGGGGAATGTGGTACTGAAGCAATGAGCTTTTCAATAGAAATAAATCTGTGTTTTGTAAATTGACTTCGTATCAAAAACCTAACGATTGCTATGAACTATAAGTATTTTTGGCTTATAATATAAATATAGTATTACACTAAATAGGCCTATAATCAGACACAAAGTCGTGCTTAAAGCCAGCTCCGAAGGAATTTTATTTTTTATATATGTTGTACAACTGATTTTTCTTTAAAAAAAAACAAAAAAAAAAACAAACAAACAAACATATTTGACGAAAAAAAAATCGGAAACGGAGTTAATGAATACATATATTATTTGAACATTTAAAAACTGGGTGGGGTGTGGGTGGGGAAGGGGAAGATTTCCCCAAATGAGTTGTAAAATATATCAAAAAGTTTTGTTTCCTCCGAACCTGGTTTTAAAGAAAAAAGAAATGAATACAGGCGCTTGTGTCTATGACCTATTAATAATCTCATAAATTTCGAGGCCAGGGAATGGAGATGTTGTTTAGTCGTAAGAAAAAAAAAACACGAGAATATTAGCCACAATGCTATATATAGGCCTAATACAAGTTTCTCGTTTAGGTCTATTGTCTTTTCTGCGGCCTGTTAACTTATTGAAATTAATAAATACGCTGGATAAATTTAAGTAAAAAAAATGTTGTAAATGTAATTTGGCGGTAATCTTGCCTCTGCCCATTCGTCGGATACTTCAACACAATTATTTGTTGGAGGAGCCTAAACAGTAATTTAAAGATCGTGGGACCCTAAAATAGATTACATGCTTTCTTCAACTACCTAAGTTGTGCAAGGGGTTTGGTAGCCCCGCATATTCTCCCGATGTGGACATATCGGTCCGTAACGTCGAAGACATCTACCCATCTTGTAAAACCAGGCATGACATCATAATGGGTTAAATAATACAATGAGTACAACCGACTTTGTATAACAAGTCATTTTTGAACCACTGGCCATGAACAAGTCACGAATTTGTGCTCTATCCTGTTGAACTTAAGAGAATTTGAATTTAGGACAACTTAAACAATGTTCAAGTTGCGCAATAAATGATAGGTCTCAATGACACCAGTGCCCCATGATTGTGCAAACCAGTTCCCATCGAAATCTGGCCCTGAATAGTTTTGGCTAACGGGAAAATCCACAACTTTATAAATACTGTAGGTTATTCTGTCAATGAACACACCTAAATCCCTTTAAACAATACCGGTAGCAAAATCATATTAGTGCATTCAATTTGGTGATATGTTTGTGATATGTATGTTGATATAGACTATAGGTATATATATA